AGGTAAATGGAAGAAATGTTCGAGTGGAAGTTCCTTCTTACAAATGGAATACAAAGGGAATGGTGATTGCTTGTTCCATAGACTGTGGCATGGCAAGTCTTAGCTGTGAAGTATAGAACTAGTGGAACAAATGACATGTAGATCGTCAGAGCATTTGCCATGGAAATAGTGATAGGCCTGCGACGTTTCTTTTGTGGTAAAGAGGTTGCATGTTGGAAAACATTTCAACGCCCATAAGGCCGCGTAGACACTTTACTTATAGGGTTTAAAAATCTAAAACGTCGCCTAATAACCTCAAATAACCAGAATGAATTTTTATGAAAATAAGAAAAGACCTAAAAGGTTCTCTGAGACTGCATAGTTTTTTGCCAAAGCAATAGTCACTAAACCTAATTGCGAGAGGGGGGGTAATATAGAAATTCATGGTATACACATATTTTTATGACTTATATCCGATCGAATGTTATAAAAATTCATATCAGACCCTTTCATCAAATTTCACTGAATTGTGTTAAGAAATGTGCAATATAATTTGTTGTGGACATTCATATCTTTTCGAAGTTTTAAACATGGTAGCAAAAGTAACTTGGTAACTAAAACTTTAGCCAGTGGAATTTGGCAAATCGTTCCACGAAATTTATTCAGAACCGTTTAAAATATTCATAACTTGAGTAATGCTGCAAGCACGCAAAAATAAATTTATCCTTTTTAAGCATTTCACCATACTCAAGGCGATAATGCCTCTAAGAGATTACTGGGAGTGGAATGTAATCCAAAACGGGAATCGAAATCTCCCTAGCGATAAAATATTTTGGTTCTGCTATCATTTTTCATGATGTGTCAAATTTTCCATTCAAAAGTCAATCCAAAGTTTTTCGCATTTTCAATTGTGCATTATCTACGGCACATTTTCCTTCTTTCAATTGTCAGTACCGATGTTTCACATTCATTCTTATACAATTCACGTATTTCTTGTGATTCTATCAATTTCTTTTTCAAAACATCGACATCAGTAGCTGTTTCTCTAAAATTCTTTTTTTTTGTCCCTGAAGACCTTTCCGCACTCGATTTATGGATAATAAAGTTTTGTCCAATAATACAAATATACAAGAAAACCAAATGTACGCATGCGCAGCCGGATATTATGAGCGCCACATTTTCTTTCAGCCATGTTATCATTCTCAGTTAACTGATCTAACAGTCGTAGGAATTCAGACACTTTTTGCCTATCGCTTCTTCTCAATACTTTCCTGTATTTCTGATTCATTCTTGACAGAAATATTAAGCGCCTGACGCAGTTCATCCCATTGTGTTTTCAAATAAGCAAAGACATTATAAATGGCTTCATTTATACCCAAAATGATGATAACTGTTCCTTTATGACTTGTAGAATCTTAACTTCAAACTATATTGTCAGAGTTTAAAAAAGAAGATAATGTGAGTATCGGATAGTTTTAATCCGAACAGTTAGTTGCGGGCTAATCCAGTACAAATACCTATTTTACAGTAGACTCATAAAGCAATAATGTATTTAAAATCAAAGCATAATGAAAACATGTGTTATTTAATTTTATTTTACATCTTAAACATGAACAAAAAACAAAAACATGCATTATAAAAATTGTGTGTAGTTAACACTTAATTCGTTCACTTTATTTGCGTTGCCAAAAGAAAAAAAAACATTTTGGAGTTAAAGCACTAATTTGGAGGCCATATTTTTAAAATGCTCAAGTCTTAAAATGTAATATTTGTAATGGAGCCGATAGGCACTAACTTTATATAATTAAGCATGAATTTCAAAGAAAATTTTTGAATTTCCTGATTAATTGACAATTATGAAATGTTAATCATGTTACAAGTGCATAGAAATAATCAAATAATGAGTGTAGGACAAAAAATAAAACAAAGAGAAAAGACGTAAATTTGATTAGAATGAAATACGACAATAATTTCAGTGATTACCAATGTTTTTTTTTACTTTTACTCATTTCACCCCAAGCAAGGCAATAAAGTCACTAAGACGTAAGGGGGTTACTAAATGTGAGAGAATATGAGAAAAAGAAAAGGAGATAGAACTGTAATCGAACAAGATTGTATACAGGTGAAAAAGGCCAAATAATTATCTATGACAATACAAACTGGTCAGAAGGTGGCTAAGGCATAATTTAGCCTCGGGCTTTTCCACCAGAAGTATATGCAGGGATATCTATCCATGCGCGACAACGCACTCTAATAATCTCGATATAATGCAGCTGCTGACAAGAGTTTTGGCACGTTACTATCAATCGGAGTGCAGCGCCTAAAAAATTGCCAGTCCACCGTCCTCACAATGAGAAGTGACAACGAATGATCAGTCAGATCATCAAAAAGTTTGGACAGTTACATCATTAGAGTCACGGAAGGAAGAAAGCAAAAGGTAAACAGTATCCTCAACTGGAAACAAGGAGGAGACCTCTACTCCTGTTCAATGAACATTTAAGGAGTACTGGCCGAGTGATAGGTGAACCTATCTACTCCTATCAATCCAGAGAATGAAATTCTTGCTCATTTTATTATATATATTTACTGACTTTTTGGAATTTCATTAGAGTGGTCTTCTTTAAATACATTTTATTAAAATATGAGGCCAGATAAAAACTTATACTTAAATAATATTTAAAAGGGATTTTTTGGTGATATTTAACTGTTGAATGTCTGAAAATGTTAAATTTTAAATGATTTAAATATCAGGTTAGTTAAAATAAATAATTATTTTTTTCTTTAACTAAGAGATCAAAAAGTTAATTGTTAAAAATGTACCAATATGAGATTAGGTAAAAATTTTGATTCAGTGTAGTATCATTTTTTTTTTAACTAGTTAAATCCTATGAAAAGAATCGGGCATATATTGGAATTTCTTTCAGGTGCTTTCATTCTAAAAAATAAATTACAATAAAAAGAACTTAAAATGGAGAAACAACTGAATTTATTTATTGTTATTTTTACTTATTTAGGCATTTATTTGTTGCTTTCTGGTGGATGTCTTTTGCCTTTTCTTTAAGAAACAGTTATTCTTGTGCTTTTTTAAACCAGCGATCTGATTTGTACAGTCCGATTCTTCTAAAAATAAGTGAATTTTCTGAATAACATTAGAAATTATTCATTCATTTCAAAGGAGACAAAAAGCTTCTGATTAAAATTCCCTTTGGTCACTTCTTCGGGCTACGTCAGATCAATACCATTCTGAGATTTCTATTGCATTCTAATTTCAAAAGTCACAAAATATTTATCGTGAATATGATCTGGTCACTAAACTCATTGCCATCTGTCGCTTTGCTCTTACTACACCACTGATATGGTATTAGCAAAATTGTCGTATTTATAGCAGACTGATTTTTTTTAATCCATTTTTTTTAGTCGGGGGTGGTGTAGTGGATAAGCGGCACAGATTGAAGAACCGGAGAGCCGAGTTCAAATTCTAGTCGAATCCATTACATTCACTTACGCGCTAATACCCTTGGGAAAGGTATGAATCTTCTTCTCTCTGCAGGACAGACCGGGTTCTGTAGCCTTGTATGGCATCTGGTTTCCGCAGAAAGACATGGCAACATACTTCGGGAAAAATATGCCTCGTCAGTCATGTATCGAAAGATACATGATCGCCTAAGCGTGTATCACGCATGACACATAACTGACTCAATCGCTTGTTTCATATATATGGGATATAATGATTTATAAATTTGGTTGGTTGATTTTGAATTTTTGGATGGTTGTTTGATTTTGTTTAGCAGGATATCAGCCTCTATGGGTTATTTAATGCTGAAATCTAAATATTTTCAGAACAATTTTATGGCTTCAACAAAATATGTTTTGAACGCAATTGGATGCTTTCAAATACAGATAAAATGTATTGTTGGTCATGTATTTTTTTTGTTTTACAGAAAATACATTGCTGATATTTTGCTATAAGAAAGTATTTTTATACTTTCATTGTGTTTTGGTTTTGTTTGAGTTTATCTATTTGCCCATAGATAGGACCCAAACAGGTGTTGCCACTCCGGCATAGAGTAGACATGGGAACAGCAGCAATTAAGAGTTATTTAATGCACCTCAAAACCTCTGACCGGCAGATTAGAGGCTTTAAGGAGCCTTCAAAATTTATCTTTATACCTGGAACTTTAGAGAGATTTCAAAATATCCTATTAAAAATCAACATTGTTTACATCCCTTTATACATTGTTTACTTTTATTTTACTGTGATTTAAATGCTAAAGTAGTTACCACTTTCGGAACAGAAATGTCTTTATTTAAATAATTAAGTATCTTAGTTTTTACAAGTCGACCGTAAAGCAATAGCTTATTTATAAACATCACAAAATACCAGACTGGGAATGACTAACAAAAAATTATTTCTTCAAGATTTGATTTTTAAGGCTGGATGTACAAATAAGTTATCTCAATTAAGCAAGAACGCAGAAGTGGAAAAAGATGTCTGGTAGACATAAATGAGAGAACCACATCTATTTAATATCACAGAGTTACGCAATATTTGCACTCGCTTACACATGAACCGACAAACAACTTTTAATATATATTTAATTTTCCGTTTGAAGCATAAACACAATCACCCCTGGTCTTTTGAAAAGGAGTAGAGTTTTATTGTTTCCTGTTTAGGATGGGGTCTTAGCTTCTCATTCACTTTCACTCCCAGGAGACTCTTGCGTCTTAGGGGTAATATCTTCTTAGTAGGTTGATTGATTAATGGATTCATTTTCTACGGCTTATGCGGGTTATTTAATATCAGGAAATATATTTTTAGGATTTTAAGAATTTTATCGGAGATAATAATGATTTAGTGGTACATAGCTTACTAATTAACCCATAGTTGGGGGGAAAGATGTGAATTTATTGCTTTCCTAAGTGTATTTGTGTGAATATAACGGAACCAACTGGAACCGAAACTCGGCTCTCCTATTAACAATTCAGAGCCATTATCCATTACGCCAACCGCACACCCAAGCTCACAGCACCTGGTATTCCAAGGCGGTCACCCATCTAGCTACAAATCAGGCCCGATGTTGCTTAACTTCAGAGATTGTACAGCAACTGCTGTTTCAGCGTGATGTGTCCGTAAGCCCAGACAGTAGATAAGAATTATCGCTGCATGTCCACTATGTTTTTATGTATTATATATGTTTTTATGTATTATATATGTATGTGTATGTATTATGTATGTATGTGTATGTATGTATGTATGTATGTATGTATATGCTAGCACGAAGTCACAAGTCATCGTGGCTGAGAGTTTGAGCGTGCTGGCCTTGTTCAAATTGTTGATCATGCTAGATGACACGCTCTTTCCAAAAAACTGTAACTAAGGTCTGCTTCAGCATAGTTGCAGTCTAAACCACAGGTGGGCTCTGTGGATGTTGAATAAACACAAATGCACCTGAGCAAGCGTCTGCAATAGGAATTGGCTAGCCGACCTAGTAGGCAAGTATCCTCGAATACGTGTGGCCAGCTATACATGTATGTATGTATATGGGCGCGTGTCCGGGTGGTTACAACGTTCACTTTCTGACCATGAGACCCTAGTTCGAATCTCATAACGGTCAATTTGTCAGGATGAAGATTTCTTAACGTTATCGTTCTAGAGGTGGGGGCGGTCCGAGCTTGAAGCACCTTTGAGAAGTCCTTGAAAGCCATAGCATGGGCTGATCAATGCCTTGTGAGTGAAATTGTGTAGACGGAACACTCGGAGGCCGCCGATAGCTGTGCAAGCACGAAGTCACAAGTCATCGTGACCGAGGATTTGAGTGTGCTGGCGTTGTTCATTCTAGATAACACGCTCTCTCCTAGAAACTGTAATCAAGGTCTGCTCAGCGTAGTTGCATTATAGACCACATGTTGGCCCTGTGTGTGTGAAACAAACAAAAATGTGCCTGAGCGAGAGTCTGCAATAGGGATTGGCTAACCGCTCTAGTAGAATACGAGTGGTCAGCTGTTATTTATGCATGTATGTAAGCCAATATATCTGTTATTTTAGGAATTTACGATTTTAGGTTTATTTAGATTGTTATTGCACTTACGTTGCAAAATTTTTAAAATATTATTTTTTTATATTCCTTTCTCGAATCGAGCAGAAAAAAAAATCTTTCGTTTATAATCGAAGCAATTTGTTCCAACTAAAATGCCTTAAATCATTTTCATAGATCTTTTGTATTTTAAAATACTTCTTTGAAAAATTATTTCTTTGAAATTTTACAGGATTATTTTGCCCCTCTCCTTTGCAAGAAAAGACAATTGAATCTACTGTTTCCTTGGAAACTGAAAAAAAAAAGTATTTTCCATCTTTTCTTTCATTTTAAAGGTTTTAAACAAAATCGATATTTTTTGTAAAATTTACAGAAATTGGTATCATTTATAAAATTCGACGAAAGTAACGGCTTTTATTTCTTCGAAATTTCCAGCAGAAAAATGAAGCTCAATAATGTCTTAAAAAGAGAAAGAAGAAAAAAAGAAAAAGAAGAAAAAAAAAAAAAAAAAGAAAAGAAAAAAAAAAAAAAAAAGAAAAAGAAAAAAAAAAAAAAAAAAAAGCAAAAAAAAAAAAAAAAAAAAAGAAAAAGAAGAAAAAGAAAAAAAAGAAAAAGAGAAAAAAGAAAAAAGAAAAAAGAAAAAAGATGAAAAAAAGAAAAAAGAAGAAAAAGAAAAAAGGAAGAAAGAAAAAAGAACAGGAAAAAAAACGAAAAAAATATGAAAAACCAAGAAACCAAGTGTATTACTGCTGATTATAGGCGTATTAAAAGTTTTCATTTTTTTAATTGTCGTGTCTCTTTAGCATGCAGGATATCGTGGCTCTCCACAGCTTCTTGTCTTTTGTTGTTCTAAATTATTTTCATCTCTTTATTATTCATATTTCTCCTTGTTCTCAAATTTATTCACTGAAAATTACTGCACGGAGGCACGGTGGAGTAATGGATAACGGCTCGGAATCAGGAATCGGATGAGCCGAGTTCGAATTTCATTCGAATCAATTGCATTTACTTAAGTAGGAAAGGTATGAATCCCAGCTATGGGTAAATAGCAGGACCGGGTTCTCTAGCCTTTCTATGGCAGCTGGTTTATCGCAGAAATGGCCACCTACAGTGGAAAAAAAATCTGCCTCGTCAGTCTTGTATCCAAATGTACATGATAACCCATGCGTGTATAACTGACTGATTTGCTGCTTCCTCCTGTTTCTCTTGCCTTCACGTGCTCCTGTGTGCATTAAATTCTCCAGGCCATCTTTCTTCATTGTGTGTCCCAAAAGTTTCAAAATCTTATCATTGTAAATATTAATTTCTTTATTCCTGTTTTCCTTGAGGCTTCCTCATTACTCACATGTTTTGTCCATGGTATTCTTAGCATTTGTCGGTAGAACCACATCTCTGTCATATTAAACATTTTCCTCGTCTGTGAATAGATTGCTCTTTACCTAGAATTTACATGGCAGTTCAACATTCTATTTAAATTAACTCACTTGAGTGAAGTTTTATTTTGCTTTGGTCTTTCAAGAATAATCGACTTAATAATTGTACAGCGATGGCTCTATAGTCATCATTAAGATAAAAAGAATGAATGATTTTTTTCAAAATTTCACTGTGTTAATAATTACAATGATAACAAAATTACCCTATGAAGTTTGCTTAACTTTTTATCTCTTTATGCGTAATGTACCTTGCCCGTTAAGAGTAACATTAGAGTTGAGAATTAAAATTTTATGTAAGTGACCAGGCACCTCATCTCTAGTTACTTTCTCAGAGACGTGACGGGGCTTCCCTCTGTCTTTTCTAAAAATATTTTCATGGCAACTACTTCGACAAGCTTTTCTTCCCTGGTTCTCCTAATGCATGAATTTAAGTGTGCTACTAGATTGGTAATTAGGTCCCAACCTTATACTATTGAAACAGCTAAATGCAACCGTCATTTCTACTCTAACAGTTTCTTTTCTCGCACTTCTCGGCTGTGGAACTCAGTTTCGATTTCTTATTGCAATATTCAACTGCAATATTCAAAAAATTTAATTCAACATCCATCGCCATCTTCTGTCTTTTTTTTAAACCTTTTTCCTTTCCGCAATCCTCCCTATTATCAGTCTTCTCGTTATCTTTCGCTTTCACTTCCTGTAATCCCTGTTCTAGTGGCATTATCACCTTACTTGGGGTGAAATGATTAAAAAAATCCCTCTTTAAAAATTTGGACAACCTGTAGTAATGGCTTAATTAGTTTCAGCATCGCAGCTTAGTAGGAGTTAATTTGACCAAAGAGGGTATAAAACTTAATTATTAAATCCAGCAGTCGTCAAGGTGATTTCGTGGGCTGACTCAAGTAATATTTGTGCATATTTCTCAGCTAAATGTCAACGTATCAGACTATCTTGTGTGAAGTAGAAAAACTGTGTTAATGCAAGCAAAATATTACATCATGGTGGCATAGGTTAACTTCCGGAAGTCTTTGTCCGACGATAAAAATTACTTAGGAATGCTCCATAACAAAGTCTTTCATTAAGTTCTTGCTCTATTTATCTCATGTTTAATTACTTATTATTTTCTTTTATTTTCTTTGCATTGTAGCGACTGCTAGTCCGACCATTGACAAACCGTGCACTGGAACTTCGAATGGTGACGTGGCCGACATGAAACACTGCGGTCGATTCTACAAGTGTAATCATGGTCGAGTTGTGGCGCGCATCAAATGTCCATCCGGAAGTGCTTTCTCGCAAAAGAAACGCCGTTGTGATTGGCGCGCGAGTGTTCAGTGTGGGGAAAGACCAATGATGTGAGGGAGGCGTGAAATATGTGACTGTAAATTAATGAAATTTACGCTTAAGCCTGTTTTTACTTTCTTAATTAGAACATAAAATGGAAACGTTTGACTGCTTAAAATAATTCTGTTTAGTCAATTAAAACGCAGAGTAGATAGATATTTCTACGAAGTATTGAACATAATAGAGATTTCTACGAAGTATTGAACAAAATAGAGATTTCTACGAAGTATTGTAGATTTGGGTAGTAAATGAAGTTACCGAGAATTATAGAGTGAGGAACAGTGAAGAGTTTCTGAACGTTTTAAAAATCATCATTTAGTATCCTGGATTGAAAGATTAATTCAGTAGACAGACCACAGAAAAGTTATACAGTATGGAATTTGATAGCGTTGAGAAAAAGGCTAACAGGTAAGTTGACGAGTTAATTCGCTGAACGATAAATTATTTTTGAAAAAAATTGAAGCTTGTTTATATGAATCAGAAGTGAATTTATCATAAATATCAAAATATGGCGAACATAGATAAACGTTTCCGCAAGAAGACATTTTTTTTCCAATGACACCGCTTTTTTTAACCATCTGCATTCTTTGATAATGTTTATTATTTTAAAAAACGATGATTGGAATTGGAGTAAAACCTAAACATGAAAGCGAATTTGTGCATTTTATTCATTCTTGAGAATATACAACAAAAATAATAATAAATTTGTTTATTTATTAGATTGTTTATTTACAGTATGTATTTATTATATTATTTTTCCAAATGGTTGGCAAAAAATAAGTTAATTGTCTATTGATTCAAACTTTATAAAATGGTAAATAATAAGGATTTCTTCATAGTTGGTTCACATATATTTATAATTTACTAAATGTTTAGAAATTTATGAATAAAATTGGTTTTCACAATTATTTTTTATATATTAGTAAAAGATAGATATCACATGGCATTAGTCCTAATTGTATTAGTGTTTAGAATGTTGGATATATACAATTATTCTTGTAAATAAAAAAATTAAGAAATAAATAGCGTTTATTATTGTTGTTGTAAATTCTCAAGAACAAAAAATATATAAATTCACTTTCATCATGTGTTTAGGTTTTATTCCAATTCCAATCATCGCTTTTTAAAACAATAAACATTATCGAAGATTGAGTCATGGGAAAAACAGTCCTTTTGACATGACGTAGCGCATTTGTCCATAGTTATCGATAATCATATATATATATATATATATATATATATATATATATATAAACGAGAAAATAAGATAATTTATGAGTGGTTAAGGGAATGAACTCAGGTAGATATATACTAGAGTGATCAGA